GAATACTTTGGAGGGGGTATCTGTAGGCGTCAAAAAATGCTAATAGATATCCCAAGCATAGAGAAGATTACTCAAAAATTCACAAGAAAGGATTTCATGCTGTTTTGGAAAAATCAAAACAAGTATGAACTGTCTCGCCAGCGAGGCAGTCTTTGCTGTCTCGCCAGCGAGGCAGTCTTTGCTGTCTCGCCAGCGAGGCAGTCTTTGCTGTCTCGCCAGCGAGACAGTGTTGAAATAGTCAAAACTACATTTGTAACTGCCCTACACGTGTCCATTAACTGCCAAGGGACGTGGGAAACATCATGGGCGAAAATCACGTGGATAACTGCCAAAATAACAGAGTTTGAAACGTGAGAGAACAGTTACAGCGAGAAACTGCCATTTTCCGAGACAGCATTTACTGTCTCGCTGAGCGAGACAGCAAATTTACTGTCTCGCGGGTCGAGACAGCAAACGCTGTCTCGCCCAGCGAGACAGTAAACACTGTCTCGCCGTACTGACTTCTTCGATTGTGAAGTTTTTGCAGTTACAGACCCTTGAGGCTATAAATACCCCCCTAGGGTCACTTCTGACGAGGATCGAGCATTTGTTAGAGCATTCCAGAGCAGAGAGAGCAGAGATTTGAGTTCTTTTCTTGCAACGCCTTGAAATTAAGCTTCGACTTGATTTTAAGAAGAACGACTATCTTACTTCGATAAGATATCGTTTCAATTTCTACTTCGATAACGAAGTTAGAATCATAAGCCCCCTCTTCACGATCTGTGAATCGGCGGTCCACGAACCAAAGCGTTCCCGGCACAGGCAAAGTCCCACGAAAACGAGAATTGATAGACGATTTTCGTGTTTGTTTCTCAAGAGTTGTAATTTTTGTTTTGTTGTGTAGAAAAAGTCTTATAAAAAGATTATTCTTTCGAATTTGTTGTAATCGAACAAAGTTATAATGAATTCCACAACAGCGACTTTTGAACCAAACACTGAGCAAATATTATTGGTGATTTTACCTAAATATTAATGACACCAAAACCATATATACGTGCGCACAGGTGTACGAACAAAATGTAGTCGATGGATGTTTAATTGGGAGAAAAAAAAAATTGTGGTAAATTACAGAAGTGAAGAAGAGAGTACTGGAGCGGGCTTCACATTTTGAGGGAATCAACGATGATAGGGAGAAGGTGATGGGTTTTGAGTAGACAAGCCACGTTTGGCTCATTTCGATGTTTAATGCCAAAATCTGAAGGTCTAGGGTTAATAGGCCCGAATGGTATCGGGAGAAATGTAATAAGAGAGGAGAGAGAGAGAAATAAATGAAGAGGGGGGCTCTAATTTGCATTGGGATCCCTCCTCGTTCATTTCTTTCTATCTCTCTCCTCTCTTATAGAGTGCTCATGGGCACTCTGTAGAAAACCCGATAGCTCTATGTTAATTATGTTTCTTTAGGGCGGAAAAAATTCAGAAGCCAATAATAATGTGTTCATACGCCTTCGGTTTTGAATCCAAATATGGATATCGCTCGTTGAGCTTCCTCGAATGGGAATAAAAAAAATTGTTTCAAATAATCACAATATTTACGAAAAACTATTATTGCGCAGATGCTCGTAAAAGAAGCCTCACGGCGCCTCTCGCTCCACAAGCTGCTCGAGCATCCGTGGATCGTTCAGAATGCTGATCCCTCAGGCATCTACAGGGGCTGATCTCTAATTTGATAGCCTCTCTTTTGTTGTTCATTGAATATAACTCATGTATTTAGTGGGCTTTTTAAATCAAAGATTCGTTTAGTTAGCAAGCGATGAAGTCAAAGAAGGCAACTTACCGGGGAAATCTTCAGTCTGCCGCAATGCCTGCTCGAGGAAATGAGGCATATATTGAGGATTATTATGGGGATTAACTTGCATGCGAAATTGGTGGATGTACTGGGTTGTTATATGTATTTAGCATAAAGAACTAATGAATTTAAATCCGTTGTCTTTCACAATCTGCTGGTTTTCATCAGACATGAACTGTTACTGAGGAAACTGTGTTTCGGATTTATCGGGCTTGAGGCGCCGCTGAACTCTGGCGCAATAAGTGAGGTTGGATTATGAGAAGTTGGTCCCCATGCAACTAGCATCCCATCCTTGATTCCAAGGAATGCTTTTGAAATTTCTCAGTTGAGGGGCCAAAAGGAAAACCAAAAGGACATCTCTTGATGCAAAAACTAATACCAAAATCATAATACAGGCCTCATTCTGCTCTCTACATAATTAAATAGGTCATAGTTCAGAACATCTCTTATTTGTACCGGAAAATACGCCACCCAGTCCTATAGATTTCAAACGAAAAGGCTCAAAAGCTGAAACTTTGGGAAGAACGGAAGGAAAAAAGATCCATTTTACTGATGTCAGTTTCTAACACGCAGATCCTGTGCCGTTACTTTCACTCTCAGCGCCGTGGTTCTCAGTGTGTATATCATCCCCAGGCGTTTCATGATGACCTTCAACCGTATATTTTCCACTTCCCGCTCTCCATATTGATGTGGTTTCTGCTCTCTTTGCTGCCTCAATGTCTTCAGCACTTAGAAAACTAGGTTGGTTAGTAGAAGAAAGCAGCCTCGCCCACATCCTGTCAGTGATAACCACCTTGTTTCGTGATTCTGTTACTCTCTGCACAGAGCATTTATAAATTCAAATCGTCAGCTGATGCAAACATGAGCCTACGCTACTTTTGAAAAGTAAGAACATTAGATCATTTTGAAAAGTGAACTTACTGAATTGTGATCGTGCTGTCTTTTGAATATTTTTCACAATTTTTTAGCAGATAAGAAAATATGAGATTGCGTTAATAATTCTACTGCAGGGAGTTGTAACATTCAAGTTAAGGAGGAGCAGCTCCATGAAATTGAGATGATTACAGGAGCCAGAATGACGGTGACTCGCGTAAAGGTTGAAGAATCTATTTTCTCCTGATGTTTTTTTAAGTAAAAGGGAAGTTATAACTACTTAAAACGCTAGATGGTTTGACTCAGTAATTTAATAGTCTAATATGATTCACTCGCTAGTTGTTGTCTACATAACAAAAATGCTTCTAACTGAAATTTATCAAATTACAAGAATTTTTCTTGTAGGATAGTATGAATTTGTATGTACCAAATTCAAGATCTCATCACTGTGTTCAAAATGACACAAAGAAATATAAGTACACCCACCACCTAGAAGGAAACGGTCACAGAAACCAACTACAAACACACAGAAACACCCCAAAGACAATATAATCCACCTAACCTTTTGATGTGAGATGAATGCTCGCATAATAGAAAAAATGTTTTGCAATTGATATTTCATTGCAAGGGAAGAAGAGAGTGATACATACATAAAATGGTATGTAAGTATGTCTGCCATTGACTAGCCCAACGGTGAAACCAGTATATCCAGCCATTGCTCCGTGAATGGCACTATGAGCCAGCAGTGTGCAGTAGACATTATCAGATGCGATACTTGGAATTGCACGAATCATGTAAGTTGGATCTGCAAATAAAATATGTCCAAAGAGGTTAGACAAGGCACTTTAGAAGTATGTACTGAGCAACTATACAGATTTACCTATATATTTGAGAGTTATCTGCATCTTCCCCCTACGAGAGAAGTGATCCTGAGAAAAACAGGCAGCTTTATGATACAATGTCTAAAAGAGGCCTCAGATCTACTGGAAAGGACAATTACGTGTAAGATCTTTACTTGATGCAGATTACTTCATAAGGAAACAAGGTAATTAAGAAAATTTATTTTCCTTCGTTAAAATTAAACATATTGCGCAAACGGGATAGATCAATAGCAAACTATTGCAACTGTGGCGAAAAGCAAGACCAACATGTCCTCCTTGATGCTTAAATATCAATGTGCAAGGTGATTATGGTCTATTCATTAGCATTCAAAGATCTAATCATCAATTCTTCTAATTACAATGCATAAAGTTGAAGAAAAAAAACTAGATACTTTTTGGTGAAAAAAATAATCTTGTAAGTACCTTTATTTTCTGAGATAACCATAAGCCAACATCATGAAGCAGCTTATTTCCAGAGGCATCTTGATGATCATGAGTACTTTCAGCAATAAGCTCTTGCCCAGCACCCTCAGCAACGACAATAACCATGTGCCCATTTTCTTTAAGCCTCCTTTCTACATATTCATATAGTCCACCTTTTCCTTCCAGATAAAAAGGCGACTCCGGTATCAAACAGCAGTCCTAAGAGAGTCGGAAGAAAGGGAATTGAAAAGTAGTATTAGCGAATGAAAATAAAAAATCTAATGCTAGGAGCTGTTGTTACATGGATCACTCATGCTTACCACATCTCTGCTGGCGAGAGTAGCATACATAGCAATGAACCCTGCAAATCAAAGAACATAAAGTAACTCCTGTTATGTCAGGTTTCAAATTAAAAACAAAAAGCATCGTAGAATCACATGAAGATGAATGTGTACATTAAATCACAGTCTTAATAATCTTACTCCAAGTTAACAAGCTTCGCTATGGCTGGTTTTAGTAATAAAAATAAATTGTTGAATTGAAATAAACTGCAATCTCTTTAGTGCAGGAATATGAACTTGTTTCTTGCTGGTAATTTGGCGTACAAACAAGCATAAGCGTGAAATACTATATGGAAACAAACATGCATGTCGCATAATCACAAGACTTACCACTGTGGCGCCCCATTAACTTGACAACGCCAATGCCATTCTCAACACTTGAAGCTTCAACATGTGCTGCATTGATCGCTCTCTGGGCCTCCTCAACAGCAGTATCAAAACCAAAGGACTTGTCAATTACCTGATTTCAACAGCGTGAGTGCATAAGAAAATTAATGATAGAGAAAATTGAAGAATGCAGACTCATCATTCAAGCTATGGGACATGTGGGACCATAAATAGTGAAGAGAGTTACGGCAATATCATTATCTATTGTCTTAGGAATTCCAGCGACTGCGACTTTGAGTCCACGCCTTTGAATTTCCTGCAAGGACATTCGAGATTGGTAACATGCATGCTTCTTCTTCTTTACGAACTTCCTAAGAATTGAGTACTGAATAAGACTGATTACTTTGGAAAGGACAAAAAATGCTTCAGATTTCATGGTAGTTTAACATCTAATCTATATTTGTACCTCAAAAATCAAAGAGGCCCCCTTTTGAGTTCCATCTCCTCCAATTATATAAACCTGATATCATCATATACGTTAAATCAATACATTTTGAAAGGCTCAAAATTTTAACAGGAAGAAAAAAGAAGAAATATATACCTGGTGAATCCCACGATCCTGAATGCTATCAACTATTTTCATGGTATCATGACCTCCACGTGATGAACCAAGAATGGTACCACCTCGTTTGTGAATATCATTGACACTTTTTGGTGTCAAGGTAACAGTATTACGAGCATAAAAACCCTTGTATCCATCCTAAACATAGAACTATTCAGATTAGCAATGCTATTGTTTAACAGAAGCATGAAAAACATCTTCTAGCTACAGCAAATTTTTATTTTTGGCCAAATGAGTAAAAAATGGAAAGTGTTGTTTCAACGAGCTGCAAAAGATATAAATTCTTACTGTCAAATGACAGCACCTTAATGTTTAGCTTGATATGTTCAAGTCTTATTCCGGGCTCATTCACCATTTTAAACCATAAAGTCGTGGCTTTTGAGCATTGGTAGTCAAATCTGTCACTAAACCAAAACTCTGAACTCTGAAGCAGTGGTGAGGTTTAAGAGTCATAATTTTTTATTTTTAACACAATTTCACGGGCTTTTGCGCATTATTGGACTATATATGGCCTTATTTGAGCACAAGGGCAATTTCAATCTCTTCTTGCCATGATTTGCTCACTTTTTTATACTTTGAAGAAATAAATAACGGGGAATAAATGCCTTTCTTTTAAAAAAGGAAGTATGTTAAACAAGGAAAACCCCATTACATCTTACTGACATATGCTAACATTTTCTTTTTTATTTTTATTTTTTGAGAAAGAAAAAGGATGAAGCCCTAATGACTGGAGCTCCAGCCTACATATGCTAACATTAAGTCAGATATAGAGGTAACATTCTGCATAAGACCGAGATTTTATGTGAACTAAACAGTGTTCTTTTGAGTGACTAGTACCAAAACGCAATATTCTTCCGAAACTATAACTATCATTTTAGGTATGCCAAAGAGTAACAAATGCATCAAAATAACTGATATAACAACGCAAACCCATATAAATATTCAGCAGCAAGATCTCACCACTACACCATAAACTTCATTAACACCATACATGTGGCATAGGCCGCACACTATTTCCCTAATCACAGTATTGAGGCCCGGGCAGAGACCTCCACATGTTACAATGCACGCGTTCACATCATCTGGCTGAAAATACACCTGAACCATATAGAAAACTACCAATAAGTTGATTCTTGCACGTCAATTTCATAATTAATAGTTGAAGTTATATGAGAAACAACTGAAGAAACATGAGCGAGTACCTTCTGACGGGGTCCAGCTCGTCGAAAATGGGTTCCTCTTGCACTATTCTTCTGAACAACAACCTACACAGACCCAACTTCATTGTTAAGTAAAACTAACACAACCATAATAAGGTGGTGATCAAATAATTAAGCCTATGAAAAATCTTGAAAGAACTCACCTTCTGAGGAACAGTGTCACCTTCATTAACGAAATACTGCCTGCAAAAAAAATATTATTTTCTATTAATCCTCAAGCTTAGTAGCGCAGGTATCAAAATAAACAAAATCTTATGTAAATCAAATGAGAAAGGGAAAATAGACATACTTAACAACTGAATAAGCTGGATTATTCTGCAATGGATTAGGATATGTCTGTAATAAAAAAATAATAAAATGAAAAAAAAACCCAGATTGGTTACAACCTTGTGCAATAAAAGCGAAACGATTCGGATTCTACAAATCGAATAAAGCACAAAATTTCTAACTCGTCAACAAGAAATTGCCCTAATCAGTTACCATTAGAAGCTCAATTTCCAACTCAGATCCCAATAAATTAGTTAAAAATCACATCTTTAATGCATATTAGAACTCACTGGAAGATTTGGGATGTAATCGGTCAAATGAGGAACATCCTCGAGAACGTAACCGAACTCTCCTTCAGCAATTTTAACGTTGGACCTCCCATCAGCAGCCATTTCCTTGCTTAATCGAAGATCTCGGACTCGGCTCTAGAGATCTGATCGAAAACACAAGCGAGACTTTAAAAAGAGTGAGTTTTTGAAAACCAGAAAACTTTGACGTTTGATGAAAACGACTGAAAAAGGGAAGCGCTACTTTTTCCCGGTATTTTTTGGGAATTTTGTTGGACGGACTAGTCCTTAGTTTTCTCAAGAAACTACGATACTGCCATCGGCGAGAAGATGACAATCTGTGTCCGAGCGTACGTGGCGAATTTCTGGGTCAAGGGTAAGTTAGTAATTTGTGGGTCTGTCGGAGGTAAAAGCGGTTTTGCAGCTGGGCACGGCTTTCAAGTACGGAGGTTTTTCTAGAATAAATTAGCGTGGATCGAGTATTTGTTGGGCGTAATAAATTCAACCCGATTCCAGACGTTTGTGGTCGTGCCCATGGTATTTTCTAGCGTGTCCAGGTCTGTGGGGGATGCGGGCCCACGAAAGATAATAATGAATTGGGTCCAAATTCTGCGGATGCCGACCCAACCCGGCCCAACCCGAACCGCTCCTAAAACCCTGCCCTCAAACGTTTTTAGGGCAAAATCCTCCCTCCCTCATCTCCTTCCTCCGGCTTTTCCCGCCATGGCTCGAATCGTCACGCGAGCTCTCCCTCTCGCTTCGAGATCCTCTCATCTCCTCCAATCACCGATCTCAACATGGTCCCTTCCCTCTCAGCCGCTGAGATCTCCGATCTCTTCATTGTCGTCATCGCTGTCCCCGATCTCTTCCCATATCTCGACCGGCTCGTTTGATTCTTTGAGGAGAAGAAATCATGTCTCTGTGGGCTTGCGAGGGTTTCGAAAGACGAGGAGGCCGCAGGCGCCCAAGAGGAAATCGAGGCCCAAAGAGAAGAAACTGGAGCTCGAAGTCAAGATTTGCGTTGAGGAGGGGTTGCCTTGTGATCCTCAAGTCATGGTACTTTCATTGGTTTGATCAAGTTCGTTAATTTTGTGATTGCCTGGGTGGGATGATCCTTTTTGAAAATGCGCGTGCAGAAAATTTCAGAAATTTTGGCAGACGACGTTCCTTTGGCTATGAAAGTTGCATTTGATGGTCTCAGTAACTCGGAGTACAAAACCCGAGACACTTCGATAAGTGAAGTTGGTAGATTTGACAATGCCGAGCTATCTTTATTGCTCTGCAATGATGATTTTATGCAAAAACTTAATAAAGATTGGAGAGGTGTCGACGCTGCTACTGATGTTCTTTCAATGTCGCAACACATTCCTCTGCTTGATACTCCAACGGTATTGGGTTTTTTTTTTCCTTCAGCGGCTTTAAGAATTTTTGATACCTTGATGAACACATGACCTGATTCCTTTATCATTGCAGTTAATGCTTGGAGATATTGTAATCTCTGTCGAGACAGCTGCAAGACAAGCGGAAGAGAGAGGGCATTCACTTCTTGATGAGAGTCGAATTCTAATGGTTAATTCGAAACTTTCTTTTTCTTCAATAGCATCGCAGAATGTTAAATTTGATTTCTTTGAATGCTTATCTGTAGATTAGTTTATATAATGTGAACGCTTCTTCATATTTTGTTATGAAGGATAATGGCATTTCTTCTCCTATTTGTGCGTAGAGGCATATAAAAAAGAACTAGCTGCTCGTTGTTTCTTTATTTCAATTTTATAATCTAGTTCTTGAATTAAGATGTAAGATTTCATATTGTTGCCTGATCTGTATTACCAGAAAAAAATGTAAATCTATTAGTGTCAGAGGCCTTGTTTTCTCACATAAATAATCCACTACAGGTATGATCGTGGTACAATTGTTCAAGAATGAATGGTCCTTTAGAAAGATGAAGAGCCTACTGAAGGTTAAATAGGGGAGTGGTACATTAATGAAATCTTTTAACTTAAATTGTATGATACTAATTCATGAAATGCTATATTCTGACTCCTAATAGATTAATCAAAGAAATATGCCAGTGCGTTCCTGAACGTGATGGCACATATCAACATGTAGTGTGCTCATTCAACAGCAAATGGAAGGAGTGAATGATTCAACTTGTCGAGTCAAGACAGAACTGAAATTTCTTAGTGTAATTAGACATATTGATAAGCACCAACCAGAGTAATTGAAAAGTTAATCTTTCTGAATCTGTGATAACAGCTGAGCTCGAGCTCGGCATAACTTGATATTTTTTCTTGGTAGCTAAACCATGAAGGGCCTCTTGTTTTAGTCTTCTAACTATGCTAGTTTAACTGATTTAGGCATGTTGAACACAACTTCATCTTGCTTGTTCCATCGGAGCAAACTTGCTTGATCTTATAGTTTCAGTTTAACATTAAATCAAAGTCTCATCACTGCAATCATCAAATTGAAAACTTCCTGGCTTGTTACACTTCAAATTTATTTGTGCCTTACTGTTCAAGTTCATGGCAGGCAATCCATATGTATAATCACCGTAATTGATGGCGACACATTGTCGTCAATGCTTATGAGCCGGATCTTATACCTTGTGGTTAATTTTCACCTATTTAGTTAGTGGTTCGATTGATACTGCTGCTTAGGTTTAGCTGAAACCATCAGATGCACGGGAAAGAGGATTGATCTCTATCGTTTGACTTATAGATTTTTTTAAGATGAGAAAGAAGTTCAAGTATTCAGTTGCCTTCTCAAACACACGCAAGACACAAAACAAAAGAAGAACCTCAATGAGATATTATCAAGACATCATACAGTTCACACAAATTAAATGTATGTGTAAAGTGCAACACAACAAGGTCATAGATTATACGAACTAATTGGTTCAGCTTCACTTTAGGTTCACGGCTTATTGCATCTTCTGGGCTTTGATCACGAGATAAGTGAAGAGGCTGAGATCGAAATGCAGAAGGAGGAAGAACATGTTTTAAAAGGTCTTGGGTGGAAAGGCAAGGGTCTGATTGCGAGTGCATGTGATGACACAACAAAAGAAGGTCCTGATGGTAAGTTCTTAGCTCTTGTTTGTTAACTAGTGTTTCTGTTGATCCTTATATGAGTGTTTCTTGTCCCCTTTATCCTTGAGTTTATGTTGTATGTATGAGTATTTGATATTGCTTGGCAGTTTGAGAGTTTTTACATGAGTAGCTATTGAAGATATGGGAAAAGAAGGCATCAGTCTCTGATTTTGTGAACCAAAGTTCTGTCATATCTTCTGTTGATGTGGATATTGAGCATTAGTCATGTTCGGTAAGTTTGAATAGTATTAAATTTGTAAGATTGAGGGTATAACAAGAAACTACTTGTAAGCACTAGAGGATATTTGACAACTTGTGAGCACTATGACAAGGCGGAAGCTCTGTCTGATGAAACGGAAGTTTTAGTGATGAAGACAATGTTACAGAGTCCATTTACAAGCATATGCATTTTGATGCTTAGCATGGCATGCTGACGCTCAAGCTTGATCTTTTTTCCTTTTTTTTTCCTTTCTGTTTTTCTCCTTCAGTATCATTTCTTGTAATTTCAGTCTGTAATTGTAAAGTGTTGATTATTTGAAGCTAGGGGTACGAAAGGAGAAGCCTATCCGTGCTGTTGAATCGGAAATTGTTTCTCCAGACGTTATTATAAGTTTACCGAGCTTTTTCTGATGCTGGTCCCTCAAATCATTTTGGATATGTAGGGCTAGTCAATCCTCCAAGTTATACCAGACAGAGCAACAGTATTATTTTCTGCTAAAATCTTGATTCAACTTTAATTATCCATTGAAATTAACTATATATATATATATGTGAGAGAAATGGGTATGTTTGTTACCAAACACAAGTTTTTATGCTTAGTAGTGAGGTGGTATATTTTCCTCCACTTATTGAAATCGGGGTCCACATTCATATAGGTTAGGGATTAGTTGGGAATTGGAATAAGTGGATGAGAATATGATACCTCATTACCAAGCACAAAATTTGTGTTTGGTACCAAGTATATATATATATATATATAGAGAGAGAGAGATTAATGGGTATCTTTGACAAATATGATATTTTACTCTTTGACAATGATGTAGCACAATCCTAATCATGTTTGATTCACATGATGGGGATTGTGTCACATCATTGTCAATAAGGGAACCCCCTCCTTGTCAATGATACTCATTAATCTTATATATATGTGTGTGTCATCTACAATAAATGTATCATTAATCTCATATATATGTGTGTGTCATCTATAATAAATGTTTTGATGTCACATTAGTACTTCGACATTGCAAAGTTGATTACACACCTATAATAAATGTTTTGATGTCACGAAGTTTTTGGTGTCACAAAGTTTTTGATGTCACATTAGTACTTCGGCCTTGCAAAGTTGTTGTTTTTTTTACTTCGATGTCACGAAATTTATTTTTGATACTTTGATGTACTACACTTTCGCTACAAATATGATGATTTGCGCTTTAGTGTTCGTGAAGTTGAAATTTAAAATGAAAGGTTGAGACATCTAAGTGTTAAAAATAAGTCTAATGGCATCGAAGTTTTTTTAAAATAAGTAACAGTTTCATGGCATAAAAGCGCAAATTATCCTAAATTTTTATCCATGTGTAATGTTTAGAAAATTCTTAAAACTTTTATTCCATATAACCAAACATTTTTTGTCCTCCATTTTTTTTAGTAGTTGGGTAAATTACACTTACATATTGTATTGTTTACCCAATGTTGTATACAAATACCCTTAGTTGTAAATAGGTTCACTTAAACACCTTAAAGTTTCTAATTTTGCTTTTAGTATGCTTGGTTATGCAAACTTGAGAATTCTCCCAAATTTTGATGTGATACTCATATGCTAATTTTAGAACATTTTATCATTTACTAATTGGAGGAGATCCAAATTTTTGTTAAATTTAGTGTTAAGCATATCAAAATCATATTTTCAAGGTAGGATTGCGGAAGGTAAACAACATGGTATTTAAGTGTAATTTTACACAAAACAAAGGTGCGCCTTTTGATAGATTTCACTAAACCCCAATGAACTCTTAAAATGCCTCTTCATGTTGTTTATTGGTTCTAATTTATGAGGGTTATCTACAAAATTCCAAAAGTTAATGGTTTTTTTGGCAATTCCAAAAAGTTTAGGGGGTTTTTTGTGATTTTATGGGGTTTAGTGTACTTTTTATATATAAAGGTTTTTTTAATTATAATGAGGCCACGAGAATCGAACCTAAGACAGTGGAAGTCATATTAGAATCTCCCACGCATGTGGGTCATCGACAGTGCTTATATGTAAGGCTAAGTTAACCGTCTTTCTATCTTATTTTTATTTATTTCCCTTTAAAGTTCTTCCTACAAGTTTCTTCCTAACCAAGCATTAAAAAAAAAACTTATTTCTTTTTCTTTTTCTTTTCCATTTCTTTTTTTTTTCCTTTCACTTTACCTCAAACCAAACATAGTTTTGTTTCTTTATATCCACCTCAGTGACCTCACATCTAACTCAAAAGAAATTATGCTTAAATACTTTATAGTTTTCTCTACTTTGCACTTTTATATCATCACTTATATTTGGTACACTTGTATACTTTAAAGTTTTTAAAACTTTCACTTGTATACTCTCACTTGTTTTGGCAACCCCTAATTACTCTAAAGTTTTTAAAGCTGAAGTTTATGTGTTCTAGAATTTTTAGAACTTGCAACTAAATGTCCTAAAGTTTTTAAAACTTGCATTTAAATACCCTCAAGTTTGCATAGCTTGTAGTATTTACATAGTGGTTTTAAAAACTTCAGAGTGCTTGTTTTAATAACTTTAGGGTATTTACGTGTTCGTTCTAAAAACTTTAGGGTATTTAATTGCCATTAAAACAAGAAGATGTATAAATGCAAGTTTAAAAAACTTCGAGGCACATAAGTGCTTCCAAAACTAAGTGAGGTATATAAGGTAAACTATGGGGTATTAAAATGCAATTAAGCCAAAGAAATTACCCTCCACGTTTAAAGGCGGACGTGAAGGCCACTTATTCAATCGGATTAAATCTGCGGTTGAGGAGCATTTGAGATCCAGTCCTCCCTATTTATCTCCTCCTTCCTCGATACAAAATTTAAAGAAGCAGCGATCAAGCGAGCGAGCATTTGAAGAACCAACATAAATCAAGAAGAAGGAAAAAAAAAGGAAGTCAGAGAGAAATCGAAAATGTCGTGGCAGAATTACATCGATGATCACCTGATGTGCGACATCGACGGCCAGCGCCTCACCTCGTCGGCGATCCTCGGCCACGACGGAAGCGTCTGGGCTCAGAGCGAGAACTTCCCTCAGGTTCGATCTGTCATCTCCATTCTCTTTTAGGTTTTTGATTTGCGGTGTTCTTGAGCCTGCATGCTTGCGATCTGATCGAAGTCGCAGCTTTGATGCGATTTGATTTGATTGAGTTGGGGTTTGCTTTATTTTAGATGAATCTGAATGTGATTAGATTGATACAAAGCTGGTTTAATTAGTTTCTAATCGTCATCGACTGGTTCTTTCTCATTTAATTCTATGAATCAAAAAGTATGATCTGTAGGGGTGCATTCGGTCCGGATACGGCTCGGATATGATGCTTACCATATCCATATCCGCTTATCTTACCCATCTCGGATACGGATATACCTCGGTAAGGAAATTTTATATCCATATCCGTCAACCGAATATAGTTACGCATATAGATGCGGATATATAAACGGATATGCATACAGATACAAAATGGGTATGAGAAAACTAGATAGTATTGAGAAAAATATAGTTCATGTGATACAAAAGAGTTCGTTAATATGCTCATCATAACTGAAAAGCTAAGACTAGACATCTTGATCATCAAACTTAACCACAAAATTATAATCTAAGAATCGAAACTATCATAAGACTATGACCAATATGTATTCGGATATTTCGAATACATATACAGATATTTCACTACAAAACCATATCCGTAACCATATCCTATCGGTTATAGATTTGAGTAACCATATCTGCATACTAACGGATATGGTTACAGATATTTTTTCGGATACGGTTTGGCACCCCAATGATCTGGGTTTTTCATTGTAGTGAGATGATACAATGAATATTTTCCTTTGCGATGATTTACTATTTAAATTAGTCTTAATGTAGGATATTATCAGTGTGAATATTAGCATTTATGACATTTAGTTGAAAAGCACTAATGGGAATGATCAATAAGAACAATTGGTAATGCGAAGAAAGTACTGATTAATGATCGGTGGACCTGATTGGTTCTGGAATCGTCATGCTCGCGATCTGTTTGAATCGATGGTTTTGATGATATTTGATATGATTGAGCTAGGAGTTCCTTTATTTTTCATGGATCTGAATGTGATTGATTTGATATAAAACTGATCTGATTAGTTTCTAATCCTGAGGGGGTTGACTAGTTCTTTCCCATTTCATCATATGGCTGTTAAGATATGATTAGGTGTTGTCATCGTGCCTAGATGATGTAATGTGTGTATCTTTCTTGGCGTTGATTTATATTAAGATTACTGTTAGGGTGTTTTTATTCTGAAAATAAGCATCTACAACATTTTCTTAGATTGAAAGAATTACCTGCATTATCACTATCATAATTTTCTTGGATTTTCTAATTTTAATCAATGGCAGCTCCAATTTCATGGGAAGTAGGTCAGGCCCGTGAATAGGAGGGTGATGGTCCATATGTCACTAAAAATGATGAATTTAAATATTTTTCGTCGATGGCTTTGATCATTATTTTTTGAGTTCATGAAAGAGTTTATTGTGGTGATTTTTTTTCCTAGATCTTTTGCTTTCACTTGAATGTTTGGATCAGTTATTTTAACCTCCTCCTCATCCATCTGATTGGTTATACACACAAACCTTGATTATTCAGCATCTTTTGGGTAGTATATATGAGCCAGACTGATTTTCTTCATGAATCGTAAACAATACATAAGCCTTATTTGACCCAAATACTGTTAAACCATTTATAGGCCTGCACTGTTCAGCATTTTTTAAATTCTTAATGTAGCTACAATTACCTTGGTCGTAGACAGGAACGTGGACTTGACAAGTGCACGGGATACAAAGTAGGACATGAGGTCATGTACAAATATGTACACATATACAAACATACATATCCCTACATCTGAAGGCCAAAAAATATTTCTAATTATATAGTAAATAACCATGATTATATGCATATATAATATTTAGTATTAGTGTAGCTCAATGTATTTCTCCTCTTACATCTAACTTTATTTTAAACTTACCATAGTTTCACACAAGTCAATAATTTTACTGATTTTTCAACTAAAATTTAGCCTTTGGTACATGAATGGAAGTAAACATCACATGAACGTTTGAGAAGTACCAGTGTTTGAACACATGCTTTTATGCCTGATGTGTTGACAAATTCATTGTCTAAATGTCCCATAAGATATAGATGTAACTTATGTCAGTAGGTTAGTATAGCTTGTAGCATACCTGGTCCCAGTTTTATTGCACATTTATACCTTCAAGGTATTTGAGAAAGGGAAAGGATTATTTGGCCAAGATATGATGATCGATGGATTGGTACTCTTGTATAATTGGTTGTAGTGCGAATGGCCTTGCAGCCATGAACCTATAGCTTAGTCCTTCCACTGGGGCTATCGCTTTTGTCAAAATGATGGCCAAGAATCTCAAGATTTTCTTATGTTGTTTCTGTTTTTTTTTTTTGGTTTGTATTAATGGACGTTAAGTATGTGTTGTAGGTTGAAATATTTAGATGGCAATGGTTTTCCCTTACAAGGATTTACATTCCTCTGTTGATTTTATTTTTCTTCTGTAAGCTGGTTGACCTTCGTCTTCACCCATGCGTGTTAAGATCCTTAGTGCCCTATCCTGGTTTTAGTCTTTATCACGTACTAATAAAGAGCTATTGCATATATGCAGTTCAAACCTGAGGAGATCACTGGTATTATGAATGATTTCGCTGAACCCGGGTCCCTTGCTCCCGGTGGTTTATTTCTTGGGGGTGTAAAATACATGGTAATCCAAGGAGAACCTGGGGCCGTTATCCGTGGAAAGAAGGTGACCAGTTTATGTTTCTTTGCACTTCCTGTGCTTTCTTTACATGAGTTTATCACTTTTTCATCTTGCTCTCTGAATAACTTGAATGTAAATATTACGTTTTTTCCCCACTTTGAAAGCTAGACAGTCTCTATCTGAAGGTGAAGTTGTAAATCGGAGCAACATTCTATATAGAAAAGAGACCTGCATATTTCTCGGAGTTTTTGCCAATGGGAGTGTAAACCTCTAGTTTGTTTTTAATTCAGACAAAAACAAGAAACCCTTTTTTTGCTACATCCTTTTCTTTCTATTCCTGTTCAGCTTAGAATATCCACCGTGTTCTTGATCTGCGCATAAATAAGCCATGGGATACCATGAACCCCTTTGTTGTTGGCAATCATGCCTAATCTTTAAAGAATCGCTGAAATTTGTGTTCATTTGGCAGGGATCAGGCGGCATCACAATAAAGAAAACCGGCCAGGCCCTGATCTTTGGCGTATACGACGAGCCCATGACTCCAGGCCAGTGCAACATGGTTGTAGAGAGGATGGGCGATTTTCTCATCGACCAGGGCATGTAGTGCCGCCAGCACCACCAAATATCCATTTTTTTTTTTTACCCTCGTTGGGATATAGCGATATCGCCTCCTTTCCAGTTTTGAGCATATGACCATGGGCTAGTACTTTCCTGCATTTTGTTTTGGGTAATAATCTTGTGGAGAAATAGATAGGATGTTGGAGTCTTTGGGTTTGGTTCGGATAATGCGTTTTGTGTTTTTTTTTTTTTTTGGGAGGAATTATGCTGTGTTGCTTCCCCGTCTTTGTTACCGACAGAGCTGCATGTGCTCGAGTTTCTTAAAGAAATTTCGTGGTTTAGGGTGCTTGTATTTCTTACTTGAAGGTTTGTATCGTGCGGGTGAATGAAATTTGTAGCAAATGTTGAGTTAATGTGGCAGGCGGTCTCGATCTGAAACCCTTTCTTGCTTAAGGATAGACCGTAGCATCTTCGGATCTCCATCACCGACTAAAAAACCCCATGTTTAATTGCGGAAAAATTCCTCAAGGACCCAAAATAGGGGATCAATAGCGGGGACAAGTGAGGTGTCCCTCTCCTATTGGATAATGAGTTGACCATCATTAATGATGATCAACTCATTATCCAATAGGAGGGATATATCACTTGTTCTCCCTATTGATCCTATATTTTGGGTCCATGTAGCAAAGCTCTTAACTACTGTAGCTGAGATTGGAAGATATGCGTGTGTTTCCTGTTGGAACAGAGCAAGAAGTTTTCGATGGGGGCAAATAATGTTTGCTTGCTCGTCAGTTTGCACGTCTTTGTTCGCATTTCCTCTGTTTCCCGTAAAAATCTGCTTACGTGGAGCCACCCGAACAAAGTTTTATGGTTTCTGAATTTTTATTCAGCCCAGAAGTGAAAAAAAAAAGTTGAAATTGCTTACGTGGAGCCAGGATTTGAAGCGGGCGGTTGGGCTCCTAGAATTCCGCGGCGCGCGAGCGGACGACGCGAAGGTGTTTCCTATCTGTCTTCCGCCTGTAAAGGGCGAGAGCAGTAGTCGAGAAGATTCGGTTCGAGGACGCGAGCGGCGCGTGCGACTGTTAAAAGCTGTTTCTTGCAATGATGGATGGAGGTGTCATTTCTCTAAAAGCTGTTAAAACCTCGTTAATCTCTTTTTGGGGTTTTTTTTTTTTTTTTTTGGAAAAGATCTCTTTTTGGGGTTTTAATAGTGTTAAAAGGAGGCAGCTCGTGTGAACTCCTAAAGTAAAATCCATGTGTAGCGTTCCAACAATACTCTTAAGGGCGGGTTTGACGGTCCTTACAAAATTGGGCTAGGATTAAACTTGGCCATGTTTTGTCCTAAACCAGATCTTTTGTAAATCGGGAGGGATTGGTCTGCAAAAGAGCTAGTTTAAAGGTCATTTTTTGGCCTAGGGAAAGTTGGGCCAATCTTTAGCTCTACGATTTGAGGAGTTGCCAAACAAGCCATGTTTCAAAACAGAGTCTAAAATAGGTAAATTTGATATGCCTTTGGAGGACTCATTGTTCATAACTTAATCTAACTTCGTAGCAAGTCAAATAAAGAAACAAAATGTACATAAAATGTTTGGTCTTTTTTAATCTCTACGTGACCAGCTAAGGGCCCGTTTGAATGGGGTATTTTGCCCTGAAAATTAGGAGGAAAGCTGTCAAAATGGCAGCTTTTTGGCAGCTTAAGAGGTGATTTTGGGGGAAAGCTACCAAAAAACTGTCATTTTTGCAGCTTCCCTCCCAATTTTCGGGGCAAAATACTCCATCCAAACGGACCCTAATTGGATAGTTATATTACAATATTTAAGTATGTTTGTAGTTTTTTTTTAAAGTCTGTTTTGAAGATTCTGCTGTAGATGGTCCAAATATGATGCGCTTTAAATATGGTTGATCAAAATCTAAAGATAAAATTAGATGCTCAAGCACTGACACTACAAGTGGAGAAATTATATGTTATGGTTTAATTTTATTGCATTAATAATACATCAAATATATGCGAATTGAACTTTCAAAATAACTCAGAATTTTAGGACCAGGTCCTTACAAATCGGCATATTCCGTCATATTCCTGATTTCCTCATTTCATCCCCTATCAATTTTGATAATTATTTTTTTTTACTTTATTTATTTATTTGATTAAAGATAGGAAATTAGAGGCAAATTCCCGGACGCCAAGGCCAAATCTTAAATACGATTTAATTCCAACCAGTCGTTGGCTCTGGCATCCGCTGTCACCACTCGAAACAGCGGAAATATTCCCAAACTCTCCTCTCCCTCTCCCCCTACATCTCACCTTCACATTTTGACGAGAAAAAAGAAAGAAAGAAAAAAAAAAAAAAAAAGCCCTAACCCTAGAGAGAGAAAGAGAGCAACCAAGAGAGAGAAAATGTCGTGGCAAGCGTACGTCGACGATCACCTGATGTGCGAAATCGACGGCCAGCATCTCACGTCCGCCGCCATCCTCGGCCACGACGGCAGCGTCTGGGCTCAGAGCGAGAACTTCCCTCAGGTTCGATCTCTTTTCTTCCTCTATTTTGTTTCTTTTTTTAAATTAGATCTTCGTTTTGTTTAGATCTGATGCGTTTCTTTAATCAGCTGTATGGTGTTTGTGCTTGATCCGAATCTATTTAGCTGCGGTTGACCGATTTTCTGTATTTATTTATGTTGGATCTCGTCGATTTGTTTCTGATCAGTGCATGTAAAATGTACTGCGTGGTTGCGAGAGAAAGGTGCATCTTGGAATCGATAATCCACGATTTAATGAATCGCGTGGACTATTTTTTTCGAATACTAGCGAGGATCAAAATGATTCTGATCTTCTCCTTTTTTTTTTTAAACTAGATTTGATTGGACGAAATTTTGCGATCAGGTTTGTGGAAGTTAGTTGCTATGAAATATGAAAGAAGTTGGTTTCCCGCAGTGAATTCGGCGGCTTGGATTGCATGCAACATTGCTGGCCACAATGGTTTCTTGTTACATGTTTTAGATTTGGGGATCTAGTCGAAAGAGGGAAGTTAGTTTCAAATCTGGAAAGGGTAACGGGTATAATGAAGTGTTCGATGTTGATCGGATACCGAGTCTCGTCCGGCGAGACGAGTGGAATTAGTTTCGAGTTTGAGTAATTTTGAAGATCTCGTCTTTGAATGTATCGCTAACTTTCTAAATCATGATATTCCTAGAATTGTTTGGACTTTGGACAAACTGTATGCATTATAAGAAATACAATATCTGTTATGTTATTGCCAATGTCTACTACGTTCATATGGGAGTTTCAGAGGTATATACTTGATAATTTCTAGCCAGACTTATAGGTTGAGTAAGCATTTGTTGTTGGTTAAAGTTGAACATTTTTTACTGAATAATGAGTACAATCTCCAGGCTAATATCTGCTGCTAGGATGTTAGAGGTATCTTGGATATTCACACTGGGGGCTTTTCTTCTTGATCTAAATCTTGCACGCTGCAATAAGTTGGAGAAGCACCTTGTGCAGCTGGCCGATAGTTTGCTTTGTTCTAGCTAGTTTGATCTAGTCTCTAGTACTTTTATATCTGTGACTTCTCTCTTGTTTTCGATTTCTTTTAACTATTTTATCTTGTTTTAAGCTGGTGTACTATTTTGCTTTTGTTTCCTCAGATGAACCCATCAGTTGTTCGGTATTTAGCATATCTTTAATTAGGAAGAAAGGGGATTATTTCAGTGAACATATTATATTAGTTTGACCAATAAAAAAAATTACCCCTATTGTATTTTGCTTCTGGTTACTTGTGAAAGAACTCGAACTCTATGTATGATCACACACTATGGCCTTGATTAAATTAGACAACTTTGTTCGTTATTGAGTGCATCTGTTTCATGTATAGTGGCACGGGATGAAGTCGCATGGGTTAAGACGATACTTTAGAATTCTACTGAGATTCTGAAATATCTGCAACTTAATAGGCATGATATGAAGGCATTAATTTGATTATATTAGCACTTAACATGTGATTTTTTTTCCCTTCATTGCCTTCTTTAAATGAAACACTTCCATTGCTGTATTCCTTACACTGGATAAGAGTACACGTCTGATATTTAGGAGGTTGGCTAGTTAATTTCCTGGATCTAACCACAATTTTTTTGATTCATTGAGATGTATTCAGCTTTCTTAGAACCACGCTAAAATCAATTATGAGGAATTAAAATGCCTGAAGAAGCACACTCCCTGCATCTTTATCATTTTTCACCATTTTTGTAAATTGTTTTTAAGGTCTTTCTAAAATGTGTTTTTGAACTAATGTTGTAGTTCAAGCCTGAGGAGATTAATGCTATTATTAAGGACTTTGATGAACCTGGAACTCTTGCACCGACCGGATTATACCTTGGTGGTGCAAAATACATGGTTATCCAAGGCGAACCAGGGGCTGTTATTCGAGGAAAGAAGGTAAAGCAATCTAATCTACTTGTTCCCCTGCCAGTTGCTTGTTATAGAAAAGAGAAACAGAATAAGATTATTCATGGTTTTTATGCTCTGTTTTTATAACAAAGATATTTATCCTTATCATAATTGAACTGGTTGTTTGCTTGTTTCTTTCAGGGTACAGGAGGTGTTACAATCAAGAAAACTACTCTTGCTTTAATCTTTGGCATTTATGATGAGCCAATGACTCCTGGGCAGTGCAATATGATTGTTGAGAGGCTTGGTGATTATCTCAATGAACAGGGATTTTAGGTTGTGTTCCCTTTTTCTATTCGGGTTTGGTGTGGTCCCTTGCATTGCAATGCTTGAAATGAATAATTGTCAGTTCAACAATTATGTGGACTCTCGTAAGGGGTTTGATATTTGGTTAATGTGTTTGTTATGATCCATGTCCCATCAAAATTCTGTCTGTATTTTTCCTTTGATTGGGGTTATTGTGGCATTTTAAGGTGAGTTGTGATGATTATTCATAAGTTAGGTTTGCATGTTAGAAAAAGTTGTGTTCTATTTGAATTTCTTTTTGATGTGGTATAAGTGGCTTCTTGTGGTATTGGTTATCGCAATAAACAATGTATATCATTTTGCAGGTGATGTATTCTTTGAGTTCTTTGTGTTTGGTATAGTAAAAAGAAAAAAATTACATGACTGGTAATTTTAATTTAATGCTATCTTGTTCAATATGTTCATGCTATTTCTGAATGGTTATGTACACGTCTGTGCATATTTTGATAATTCAAATGTGCATCTAGTTATGAACTGAGATACATGTAGAGTTCTCTTTTTCCCTTTGATGGTCTTGAATTTGTTTTTACTACCGGCAGGTTCTGCATACTCTTTAAATCGTTTTTTGTTGTTTTTAATTTTTATCGCCTTTGTAAAGTTTGGAAGCATGTTTTCTTTTTTATTTTAAACCTTACACAATGAAAAGGTTGATCTGAGATTGTCTTTTTCCTCAAATGAAACCTTAAAAGGAACAGGAAAACAACTACTAGCGTGATGAGTAGGCCAACATTTGTGAAATGAGAATTTAAAATCTGAATGAAACTTTGGAGAGATATTACAACCTAATGACTTTTTCCCCTCCGACTTTTCCCTTCTCATAACCTCTATCAATTATTTCATCATAATTCTTGAGTTCGGCTCCCTTGTTTGGGGAAAAAAGCAAATTCTATAATTTTATAAAGAAGTAACATAGCTAAATTTTATAATGAAAGGACATGCAAGTTGCCACCTTTTGCTAACATACTAGTGAGGAAACAGTTATTTCAGAAAATGTAGGTTGTGGAAACTATATTGCATGATGTACTTTAATTATTTCATGAAATTTTCCACACGAAGCTAACATGATTGACAAACTAATGAAACTGTGCAAACATTTTGACGTAACTTAGTGAAACAAAGTACTAACGTTATGTGAGTTCACCATTGAGAACCATTGAGGCTTGGTTCACAGCTCTGGCAGCTCTCCATACTTCATGCTGTACAAATTTCCATGATTCTGAGGTGTTCACACTCCTGGCTTTCACAATTGCATCGTCTATTCCTGGAAACGCCTTGGATCCATAATCATTGTGCTGCGACGGTCCATATATCTGCCAAAATATCCCATATTTCAATTGGAAACTAATATGGGTGATCTTTTAAAAAAAAAGGGTTAATTACAGATACACCCTTGTACCACACCATGATTCTGATCTTCAGTATGTTTACATATCTAAATGGAGTTGTTTGCATATCTACTATCGAAGATACAAGTTCAAACCAATAAGAGGTCCATAAGGGAATAGGGGCCCTCTCGGCACCACACCGAAGTGTAAAAAGATTTCTCAGCAACACATTCGGGTGCAGGTAGCGGAATGATGAGTGCGTTTTGGAATCAGATCGTCATGAAAAAATTCAGCAGTAATAAAGGGCTAGCATACTACAATACAAAGGGTGTGTGTCAACAACTTACCCTATTCAGAAATTAAGTGACTAGCAGATTGCAAGTGAGCAAAACCTACCAGATGCTTGTACCATGGTCTTTTAAAGAGACCCTCTCGATCAGTAAATGCACGTTCTGCCATCATCAGCCTATCGTTAAGCTCTCTAACTTTTATCGGGTCCTTCCTCCAGTTCAATCTCCAACTTTTCCTTCGTAGTGCCTAAAATATCAAAATATTATCCCTTTGCATTGTCAAGTCTCAATAAATCTCTTTGGAGAAAAATCGAAAATATCTTTAAAGATACCTCTTTTTCGTTATTCATTTTGGTGGCTGCTTCTTTCAGCTCTTCAATAGACTTGTACAGTGGACTGAAATTTACAAGCATTCTCAAGTCCTCCTCTTCTAGGATTTTCGTACTTTTCTGTTCAGAAGGGAAAATAAAATGAAAGCATCTTAAGTTAAATTATGCTAAGATGATTTTCATTCTGTTGTTATAACCGTTATAAGCTGCTCTACTTGTTTCAACTGTACATAGTGCAAAATTAAAGAACGGCTTGTGCTGGACACAAGAAGACATCACTCGTACGCGAATCTGTGAAGTTTCATGTGAGTTTGTTTGTTAAATAAAATAAGCAGTACCTGGAGCTCAAAAGCATAATTGATATAGTCGAAAGGCAAGAACTCCTCATCTGCTAGCTTTAAAGCAACTAATCCCCAAATACTTGCCGCTATATCATAAGAGACACATTATCAGAATGTAGTACTTTACTTTGGCCCAAAATCCAGCACTTGTTCTGTTCTAACATTTGAAACTATTAGTTGTATACAGCAGCGGCGTTGCGTAATGATAAATGGATAGCATTTGAAACTATTATTTACTTATTTTTCTTTTCTTCCGTTGATTTCTCATCACAAACTTATTGTGTTTGCTGCATATAAATCATATCAGATTCAGTTAACCATCTGAGCTCATCCTAACATGGATACTGATCAGAGCCATCAAGATGAAAGGCACCCTATTTTACAGAAATATTTTATTTATTTATTTATTTATTTTGAGGGAACAGGAACAATGCTTGTACATACTGTGTTTGAAGTAGCTCTTAAAAAGAAGAAGCATGAAAATACTGAACATATCGAAAAGAAAATATAATACATGCTAATTGAAGAATCAAGAAAGAAGTACCTGCTACATGCCTCTGAAACAATGGATCCCCAAATTTTTGCATCCATACAAAATCATCATACAAGGAGTGATAAACTGGGTATCCTGCAAACATGTTTCAGCAATAAGGGGGGCAAAAAAGGATAATTCAGTAATCCTCCATTCTAAAATCCGTATTGCCAAACTCTTCTAACTAGCATTTAAGATGATAGAAAAAGGAGAAGAAAGAAATCAAAAAAAGGAAAGAAGACCAGCACCTCCTCCAAAGAACATGTCGAGTGAAGGAATTCCAACATGTTGAAGGAAAGCTGAAAAATCTGTTGATCCGCCACCTAATCTGCCAATCTTCAACATGCAAAGCAGAAAATTCTCTCTTTAGTTCAATTGCAAGAGCAAGTCTTACTTAAATTTATACAGTGTTGAAACATTTTTCTTTGGGAGTAGATGGAAATGAACAAACCAACTGCTCAACTTTCATATGTCATAAATTAGATGACATGGAAAAGGCGAGATATAGTCAATAAAAGGAAACTAGACTGGATCTTATCCATTGATTAGTCGGTACACCTAAAGAATAAGAATACTCGAATCAGTAGATTAATCCCGAAATCTTCCTATTTTGCACTGATGCAAGGGTAAATAGTTCTTTGTATACCAACTATCTACTTAAAATTGATCATGAGATAGTTTATCCAACTTACCAAGGGAGAACTACTAGATGCTGCCCAAGATTCATACAATGTCTGAGATGAGTTATCGGGGTCTTGAACCTTCACAATTAATACAATAGGAAAACAAATCAGCAAGCCTACAACTCACAACGAACATAAATGCAAGACTTCAACTTTTTTTTAAAAAAATGAAACCAAAGAAAAAAGGTAGGAATCCTGGAGACCTGTTTAGCTGCTTGTTTGAGCAATTCATCAAGTTGCGGGGTTGCATCTGCGTGAAAACCAGGACCATATACAGAAGAATCTACGTTTAGGTAAGCAATAGCCCTTGACGATAAAATCCCCCTGTTCTCCTCAACCCATTCAGTCGATCCAATCTATAAAAATGCATGAATGTAGTGAATTAGTAGAGGCATCGACAGAAAGGAGAAGGGGGGGAAAACATCTACATGAGTACGAGAAAGAGACCAAGCCATACTCTTCAGCATCCCAATTACATAAGATAATGGATCGCCGAGGCCTCCATCCTCTCTTTTGCAGCTTTCCTAGCCTCTGTGCTAACTGCATTCAATAGGTTAAAATGTAATCCTAGCCTCATGGATTATTACATTTCAAGACACATGAAAATAAATAGGGAAAGGGTAAATTGTTGAATGCATAATTACCTCTAACAAAGAAGCAGTGCCACTGTTAGGATCCACAGCTCCAAATGTCCATGCATCACGATGATTACCCAAAATTACATACCTAAAGATGAAAAAGATACACCCTAGTTATTGATGATTGATTACTATTTTTAAAAAGCTATTAGCAAGAAGAAATATGATTTAGGGGTTGTTTGGATGCTTTTAGGAAACTAGAGTATTTATGACACAAAATAGAAAGTGGTTATCCACCTCATCACTTTTCATTTGAGTGTTTACATTGTTTGGTTAGGAATCTTTGTGAATCCTAAAATAATAGTATTACATTGTTTGGATAGTATAATGTAAACTAGAGTATTTATGACACAAAATGAAAAGTGATTATCCACCTCACCACTTTCTACAAGGTTTTAAATTTTTTATTATTTTTTTGGACATATTTATGACATTGTGTAAGCTTTCCAACAAAATCACTCCTAATTTTGGTGATTTTGCTTTCGGTGACACCTCATCAAAAGGTGTAAGCTTTTCATGTAAAAGAGAATTTAAACAAACAATGTAAAGTAATGAAAGCTGACATTGGGACACATTTTTTTACACTTTCCATCATTTTACGTGGTAAAAACATACAACCAAACGGCCCCTTAAAGTGCTACACTATAAAAGTAGGTTTAAAAATAATTCAGTAAGACATATTAGGTTTCAGAGAGATTTCGAAAGGAGTGGAAACCTTGGGTTTACAAGCAAAAAAACCCTCTCTCAGATTAAGCTAGTAAGCACTTACGTATCCATAATTTTATATATACTCACTTGTATTCAGCAGGACTCATTAAGTATCCTAAAAAATTTTTTATTCTAGCCTTGTACATACCCTCCGTTATGCAAACGTGAGGATAATAATTCGAAATTCACACGTGTTTTTTTTATTACTTAATATAGGGATACATGTGATATTCAAATGTTAATTTTAGAACCTTTCAACCCTTAATTTACCATTAAGACCAACAAATGCTGTCTTTAAATAGAATTGTGGTACGTTTAAAATAGAATTAATGTAGGTTTAAAAATACACTTAGCAAAAACTAGAATTAAGAAGTTGTACAATTAGCATTTGAGTGTCACATGGGATTTTCCTGAGAAATATTCTCATGTTTGCATAATACAAGGTATTCTAGTGCAATTTTAAAAACTTTAGGATATGTACGTGCTGTGAAAAATAAGTGAGGGTATATAAGTGCAAAGTAGGGGAAAGTGTAAATTATTTCAAGTGATTAACTAGCCTTCAAAATTTTACCTGTCTGGTTCTTCTTCCCCTTCAACAACCCCAATCACATTCTGTATCCCCACAATCCTGTCATCCCCCTCGTACCCTAGGGCCTCCATTCTCTTGGCCTTGGTTTTGAGAGAGAAATTTCAGATCTTGAGCTCTAGCCTTTGAGATCTGAAATTCCAGAGAGGAGCGGCGAAGCCCTGCCGGAGGAAGGAGTCGGGGTTTTCTAAGAGAGCGGCGAAGCCCTGCCGGATCGAGGAGTGAGCGAGCCTTCTGCAGCAAAGGAGCCTTCCCCCCTTCTTCATTCCCCTTTTCTTTATTTTCCCTTAGTGTCGCCCTTAGCGGTGATACTAAGTAGAGCTGGTGTCTCGCTTTAGCCGAGATATAAGCTTCATAACTTCTAGACCCCACGTCGGTCGACGAAGTTCAGAGTTTCTAAAATCCCCCCCGCGGATAGACGAAACTCTGCCCGATTTTATCGGACCAGATCTGAGTGCCCCGGTGGTCCACGGATATCAACATCCCCGTCACAGGCAAAAGACCCACGCAAGCAAGAGATGATGAACAGATCTTGCGTTTGTTTGAAAAGAGTTGTATCTATTTTGTTTTCATTGTGTACCAGTCTTATAAAAAGGCTATCTTTTTATTTCATTGTAACGATTGAAGTTGTAATGAATGCAGCAATGAATACAGCAACTTTTTCCGCAAACAACATGGGATTTGAAATCCATAAATTTTTTGGTTGGTTTTGGGATCTCTAAAATGTTGTTTGTTTTAACAAAATTTTGGGATTTGAAATACCAAAACTTAGAATGTTGTGTTTGTTTCAAACTTAAATTATAGCATTACAAATTTTAGAATTTGAAATCCCAAATGGTAGCAAACAAAATTTAGGATCACCAAAATATTAATTGGTGAATTTAAGAATTTTTGGTGAGCTTACCCCCAATAAAAAAAAACAACTCTTGTATTTACTCTTCAAGCAAGCCCACAACGGCAACAAAATCACCAGCAACAAATGCGTGCAACCCAGGCAACAAAACCCAGCAACCCAGACCACCAGCGCCAAAAACCCAGCAACCCAGCAACAAAACCCAGCAACCCAGACCACCAGCGCCAAATCAAAAGACCTCCAGCAACAAAAAACTCAGCAACCCAGCAACAAAACCCAGCAACCCAGCAACAAAACCCAGCAACCCAGACCACCAGCGCTAAAAACAGAGAGCAACGACAACAAAATCAGCAGCAACCCAGCAACAAAACCCAGCAACCCAGCAACAAAACCCAGCAACCCAGCAACGCTACCAAGTTTAAAGCACAAGCCATCAAGAACAAGTCAACAAGCAAACTGTATATGAGAGTCAAAAAATTTGTTTCAGGCACCTTTAACAAAAAAAAGCAAACAAAACCTGTATATGAATCTGAAAATGAAACTGAATATATAAACATAAGCCCTCCAGCAACCCAGCAACACAGCAACCCAGCAAAAACCCAGCAACCCAGGTCAAATCAAAACCCAGCAACCCAGCAAAACCCAGCAACCCAGGCCAAATCAAAACCCAGCAACCCAGCAAATCAAAGCAACAAAACCCAACAACCCAGGCCAAATCAAAAGCTTATGACTCTCATATACAGCAACAAAACCCAGCAACCCAGACCAGCAGCATGAAATCCCATAATAGGACCAAGTTAGGGGCTCAGGTATAGGTATTAAAATTGAATACACGGATTGCCTCATCTAACAATGGTGTTGCAATGTAGGTTGCAATCAAATGAATGGATTGCCTCACCGACGTTGTGGATGCAATGTAGGTTGCAATCACATGAATGGATTGCCTTACCTAACATTGTAAATGCGATGTCGGCCAGCTTTATCATCTTAGATTGCCCTACCTAAACATAACAAAACATTGTAGATTGCATTCTCTTAACTAAGACCATCATCATTGCCCACTTAGAAGAATACAAAGTAGCCATTAAAAACAACCATTGAACCAAATACTCTTGTATTTACTCTTCAAGCAAGCCCACAACAATAGATGAAAACTGGAACTGAAACATAAGCTGACCCAAATCAAAAGCAACAAACCCAACAACCCAGAGCACCAGCGGCAAAAAAACAGACCTCCAGCAACAAAATCACCAGCTACCAAGTTTAAAGCACAAGCCATCAAGAACAAGTCAACAAGCAAACTGTATATGAGAGGCAAAAAATTTGTTTCAGGCCCCTTTAACAAAAAAAAGCAAACAAAACATGTATATGAATCTGAAAATGAAACTGGATATATAAACATAAGCCCTCCAGCAACCCAGCAACACAGCAACCCAGCAAAAACCCAGCAACCCAGGCCAAATCAAAACCCAGCAACCCAGGCCAAATCAAAACCCAGCAACCCAGCAACACAGCAACCCAGCAAAAACCCAGCAACCCAGGCCAAATCAAAACCCAGCACCCAGCAATAAAACCCAGCCACCCAGGCCAAATCAAAACCCAGCAACCCAGCAAAACCCAGCAACAAAACCCAACAACACAGGCCAAATCAAAAGCTTATGACTCTCATATACAGCAACAAAACCCAGCAACCCAGACCAGCAGCATGAAATCCCATAATAGGACCAAGTTAGGGGCTCAGATATAGGTATTAAAATTGAATACACGGATTGCCTCATCTAACAATGGTGTTGCAATGTAGGTTGCAATCAAATGAATGGATTGTCTCACCGAACATTGTAAATGCAATGTAGGTTGCAATCACATGAATGGATTGCCTTACCTAACATTGTAAATGCGATGTCGGCCAGCTTTATCATCTTAGATTGCCCTACCTAAACATAACAAAACATTGTAGATTGCATTCTCTTAACTAAGACCATCATCATTGCCCACTTAGAAGAATACAAAGTAGCCATACCAATACATATCGTGCAATGTAGGTTGCTATCAAGTATCATATCCAATGATATTTATATAAACCTGCAAAAGAACCAAAGTTATCGTGAGATTGCAATTAGAGTAGTGAAATTAGTTACATCATTAAGTTGTTAAACTTACAAAATTAATAACATAAAGCTACACCACTAAGTGTTCAACTTACAAAATTAGTTACATCATTAAGTTGTTAAATATACAAAATTAATAACATAAAGCTACACCACTAAGTGTTCAACTTACAAAATTAGTTACATCATTAAGTTGTTAAATATACAATGAGTTTACGAAAGCAATAGATATGTCAAAGTCTTCAAAAGTAGTGCAATATCAAGTTTTCATAAGCAAACACACAAATGACCGCAGAGATAGTGGCATTAGAAGCCATCCTCACTAGCATTTCTTCATCAATATCGTCCATCTACATGGAAGTTCAATATACATGTTCAACATGGGTTTTAACCTAAATTAAAACACGTAAAAAGTAGTTGTAATCAAAAAATATCTAAAACGTGAGCATAAGTAACTTTTGATGTCAAGATCAATAAATTCAAATGAAGTGATTTTGTTTTATACTAAATATTTAGCTTGCATTTTTTAGTACAAATTCATTGTCAAAATCAAGTGTGCCAATAATGCAAATTTATACCCATACGCATGCCTGAGTTCTATTAATACAACATGACATCTTTAAATCAACACATGAGTTTCCTTAATATTATATACATCATTTACAGGTTTCAAAATCTACTATCAAATTTTTTTAAATAATCTATGTAAATTGTGAACTCAAAAGTCAAACCAAATACAAAGGCTTATAATCACTCTAAACCCAACTGAACGCAAATCAAAAGCAACAAACCCAGCATCCCAGACCACGAGCAACAAAATCACAGCCTTCCAGCAACAAAATCACAAGCACCCAAGTTTAAAGCACAAGCCATCATTAACAAGTAAACAAGCCAACCCAAACAATTCCAGCAACATAGTTCAGACCTCCATGGCTGAAAAATTTGTCGGCACCCAACTGAACCAGAATTAATTTCACAAAAACGCCCAAATCATGTTTTTCGAAACCCTAATTTTGAAGGCAAAGGGAGGAGATATACCTGCGTGGTCGGTGAGAGGATCAGTTGGAACCCTAGATCAGCAAGTGAGGTAACCTTAGAAACCCCAAATCAATTTCAGCAAGTGAGGTAGGCTCAGCAAGTGAGATTAGCCAAAACAGCAGCAAGCCAATAAACTGAGGACCAGGTGGAGTCCGGTGAGGATGACGACGAATAGGAGTGTCGTGGAGGCGGAAAAGAGGGAACGAGGCCTAGGGTTTTCGCGCGGAAGAGAGGGAACGAGGCCTAGGGTTTTCGCGCGGGGAATGAAACGGCGGGGGTGATGGTATCGGTCTGTTTTAGGGTGATCGGGAGTGGCGCTGCTGAGGTGGACTGGGGTTTGTCAGACATCCAAGCCAAATCGCAACTCAAAGCTTGGATTTGGGAAATGCTAAAAGTTGTCAGCTTTTTCCTCTTTTAGAATTTCATATCCCATAATATTTTTTGAAACAAACACTGTTTTTGGAATCCCATAACCCCAAAAAACCCATTTTGGCATCCTAGAAGTTGTAATCCCAAAAAAAAGCTTGAAACAAACACCCCCTTACCAGATATAGAAAACACGAGGATGTTAACGAGAGAGCTCA